GTGAATCTGACTTTAGGTGTGTACCCATGACTGTGTGACCTCGTGGGACATTCTAGATTATGGATCATGGTGTGGAAGGACCCAGAACAAAACAGTGTAGTGGTTGTCTCTAATTATGGAACTGTAGGTGTGCACTTTTCTCTTTTTGTTGTTACTAGAAAAATAGAACCAAACTCTTTTTACTTTATTTTCCTTACTAAGTTAGACCTTGAATTTCACAGAGGAAAAATTTACTACAGACTCATAGTTGGGGTTTTATAGGCCTGCATATTTTTATGAGTACTGTGAGTCTTACAGCTGACTGGGTTTCTCTTCAGAAATTCATAGTACTGTCTCTGGCCCAGTTCGCAAGTGAGCAGAATTCCATAGTGAGTGTATTTTACTAGCCTCATTCCTGGCTCTACTTTTTCTCTCTGTCCTTGTTCTTTCTTGATCTTTCTCCTACTTCTAATTAATGTCATTTAATCATATTTGGTATGTATCTCCGTGTCTTTTCTAGAACAAATTGTGGTAAAAGTAAGTAAAACAAATATTCAGTCAGAGAGTGTGAGCATCCTTCTGCTTCAGGATGATTTTTTTTTTTAGCCTTATTGCTTTCCAAAGCATCAAACAAATTTTTATTTAATCCATATGTTCATAAAGAAGGTTTTAAAAATAAACAATTATTTTGGTGTGACTATCAAAGAATTATATGAGAACGGTAGAGAATCTGAAAATAAGGATGAGTACAAAGAGGACAGCTGTCATTATGAGTTCTAGATTTTTTCTAACCTTTTATATCCACATTTTTAACACTAATGAAATCATAACGTATGTACAATTAATTTTGAATCTTGCTGTTTTCTCATAAAAGCATATTGAAGCGTATTTGTTATTAAAGATGTCTTATAACATGGTTACTGATAACCATAGAATAAATATGCCATAATTTAACTGTACTTATTGTTAAGCATTTAGATTGCTTTGATTCCTTTGCTATTTTAAATAGTATTGCAGTGAACATCATTATACAAATAACTTTGCTAGTTTAAAAAGTATTTTCTAATGGCTGATCCCTAGAAGTAGAATAGCAGTAATTAAAGATAGAAACAAACAAATGATAAATAAAAGAGAGAATACAGGTGAATTTTTTAAAAGTTTGCAATGAGGGATGCCTGGGTGGCTCAGCAGTTGAGCGTCTGCCTTTGGCTCAAGTTGTGATCCCAGGGTCCTGGGATCAAGTCCCGCATTGGGCTCCCCACAGGGAGCCCATTTCTCCATCTGCTTATGTCTCTACCTCTCTCTGAGCCTCATGAATAAATAAATAAGATATTTTTTTTAAAAAATAGCAACCATAAAGGGAAAAAATGACTGAATTTAGAAATTCTGTATTAGGGGGGATCCCTGGGTGGCTCAGCGGTTTGGTGCCTGCCTTTGGCCCAGGGCGCAATTCTGGAGTCCCGGGATCAAGTCCTACGTCAGGCTCCTGGCATGGAGCCTGCTTCTCCCTCTGCCTGTGTCTCTGCCTCTCTCTCTCTCTGTGTGTATCATAAATAAATAAATAAATATAAATAAATAAATAAATAAATAAATAATAATAAATAAATAAATATTTTTAAAAAAAGAAATTCTGTATTAGAAAAATCCTTTGGAAATTATGATAGATAAATGGCTATGAAGAACTTCCACAAATGAAAAAGACTTAAAGACATTGAAATGAGAATTTATAAAAGAGATCCCTCACAAAAGAAAAATCTATAGCCAACAAATATTTCAATGGATGTTCAACTCCAGTAGTCATTAAAGAAACAAAACAAAGATGACATATTATTTTTCAGTTATAAGTCCATCAAAGATAACCACTGGTGATGAGAAAATGTGGTAAGACTATAAGTTGTTATATTTCTTGAAGCAAATTAAGTTAAATTTTAATTTAATTAAAAATACACCTGGGTGGCTCAGTCGGTTAAGCATCCAACCCTTTTTTGCTTTTTTTTAAAAAAGATTTTATTTATTTGTTCATGAGAGAGAGAGAAAGGCAGAGACAGAGGCAGAGGGAGAAGCAGGCTCCATGCAGGGAGCCTGACGTGGGACCCGATCCCGGGACCCCAGGGTCAGGCCCTGGGCTGAAGGCGGCGCTAAACCGCTGAGCCACGCGGGCTGCCCAAGCATCCAACTTTTGATTTTAGCGAGGGTCATGATCTCAGAGTCATGGGTTAGAGCCCCAACCTGTTGAGTTCTGTGCAGGGCATGGAGCCTTCTTGGGATTCTCTCTCTCTCTTCCTTGTCCCCTCCCCTACAATCCTCCTCCCAATCCACACTCATGTACATGTACTTTCTCTCTCAGAAAAAAAGAAAACCACTAATAAATTTTAAAGATTGGGCATTTTGCAGGTCGCTTAAATGGTTCAGTCAATTAAGCACCTGCCTTTGGCTCAGGTCATGATCCCAGAGTCCTGGAATCGAGCCCCCATTGGACACCCTGCTCAGTGGCGAGCCTGCTTCTCCCTCTCCCTTTGCCCCTCCTCCCTACTTCTCTTCTTGCTCGCTCTGCTCTCTCTCAAATAAATTAATATTGGAAATTTAAAAAAAAAGATTGGGCATTTTATAAAATACATATACAAACACTCTCTCCTATCCAGTAATTCTATCTTAAGGAATTTGAGCCTTAACAAACAGATGTCCGATGATGTTTACTACAGCATTGTTTATTGATTGAAAGATTGGCAAAAACTTAAGTGAGGATTTGATTTTGTTGTGGTATATCTGTCCAGTGGAGTGCTATATATGTGTTAAAAATGATCATGTAGATTTGAAGTGACAGAAGGATACTTAAGAGCTGTTAGAGATTTAGAAAATATGAGTGAATGAATGGATATGCCTAGAAAAAATACAGAAAGATATAAACCATAATAGTGTTTTTCTCTATTTAGAGGGATTATGAACTGATCTTTATTTTTTTAAATCCATTATTTTTCCTGAAGCTTTCAATTTATTTTTTTAAAGATTTTATTTATTTATCCATGAGACAGACACACACACACACACACACACACACACACAGAGAGAGAGAGAGAGAGAGAGATTGAGAGAGGCAGAGACATAGGCATAGGGAGAAGCAGACTCCATGCAGGGAGCCCAATGTGGGACTCCATCCCCAGACCCGGGATCACACCCTGAACCGCTGAGCCACCCGGGCATACCCCCTGAAGCTGTGTTTTAAAAAAAGATTTTATTTATTTATTTATTTTATTTATTTATATTTATTTGAGAGAGAGAGAGAAAGAGAGCTCACACACATGCATGCACTGGTGGGAGGGAGGGGAATAGGGAGGGGGAGAGGGAGAATCCCAAGCCGACTCTGCACTACACATGGAGCCCCATGCAGGGCTTGATCCCATGACCCTGAGAGCATGACCTTGAGATCATGACCTGAGCTGAAACCAAGAGTCAGACGCTTAACTGACTGAGCCCCCCAGGTCCCCCTTTCCTGAAGTTTTAAAATAAGTATGTCTAGCCTGAATATGTAGAAGGGGGGAAAAAAAAGTCAATTCCGCCAAAACTAAAATTGTTTACAGCAGAAACAAAGCAGATGCTAGGACTGCTCCTGCAGTCCAGGCTTCTCCTCACCCAGCCTCTGGAGGAGTGTCAGACTCCCTGCCCTTTGAATTTCCATCACCCTCATGCATGAAAATTCATCAGCAGTGATTTGTTCTTTGAATTTAGGCATTCTTCCCCCCACCCCCTATTCTATAATGCTAATTCTAATAGGATCTTCTTTATTAGGAATCTTCTAATAAACCACAAATACTTAGGTTGAGTGAATCTCCTCACCTCTTCCCACTGATACTCTCCATTACCGGGAAAGGCTGTGCATGGGACTTTGAAAAGGAAAAGAGATGCAGAAAGAGTTAATTGAGGTTCAGTCCAAGATCAAGTCCTTTGACTTCAAAATTCTGCTTAGACTGTGTGTGAGCACAGGTTCTGGGGAGGATGAAATCGTAATTCTCAATGCCAAAGCTGTTCACAGCTTTTTCTTTGTTGGATGATTCTTGTTCATATGTTTTTAAGATTTTCTTGGTGTCTTGGATTAAAACAGACTTCTGGCCTGAAAGAGTAAATTCATAAAATGTAACTTGGACCATTTTTAAAATTTTGATTTTTCATTTCCAAGAGCTATAATTTTCATATAGTCTGTGCCCTTATAGGGGAAAAAATGGGTTAGCTGAGACACAGTTTTAGTTTGGGCAAATTAATGTGTAAAAATCTTGCTTTGCCATGAATTAATTTTTTGTTTAGTACTGGTTTTCATATCAAAGTGGTGCAATCACATTTCAGAAGACTTCAAGAAAAGCGATGGTTGATGTAAAACATTAAATGCCTGAAAAATGGGGGGGGAGAAAAGAAAAGGGATGAGATTTAGGTTTTTCTCCAGTACAATGACATTTTGTTATTTCCTTCTAGATTTTTTTTTTTTTTGATCGCCTAAAATACAGTCTGGTTCCAAGGTTATGCTTCTGGAGGAAAATGGAAGATGAGGCAAAACTTTTTCTGTTTCATCCAGTCCAGCTCCTAAATGAGCAAATGCTCTATTAGGTCTTTTCATTTGTCTCTCACCTGCCTTAGGTAAAACCTGTCAGCATATGTAGCAGGAGGTGGAGACTTAATTTCTTTTAAAGGATCAGTAGCAATATCCTCCGTGGAATTATTCTGCTAAAAGAAATCCTCCAAGTTAAGCCTGGAGGAAATGAATCAAATGTTTCTAAACACATTCTGGGGGACAGTTGAGTTCCATTTCCTAAGGCTAGAGAAAAAACCAAACAAAACCTCAACATTTCCATTTTAGATCCTTGACTTTTGAGCTGGGTCCCGGGGGCCTGGACTCCTCACCTTTTGGCTGGTCCTTCCATGGAAAGTGTGTTCGTGCTCAGCTTGGTTACTCAAAGAGAGCTTTCCCCCTCCTTTCTGCCAAGATGTGCTACTGTTCCCTCACGTGTATTTTGTTCTGTTCTTCTTTGCAGAGTACACGGGTGGAGTTTGACTTGCCGGAGTATTCGGTCCGTCGGAGGTACCAGGATTTTGACTGGCTGAGGAACAAGCTGGAAGAGTCCCAGCCCACTCATCTCATTCCCGTAGGTACTAAGTCCTTACAGCTTGTTTCTCTCCATCCTGCATTGTGTTTCCTGGGGGTGTTTGCTCAGCTCTAACCCCTTACGTTGGGGGCGAATTCTGCGATCGTTTTATGCCACATTTTCCCATCAGATGTAAAACATTCTCATGGGTACTGTCCAATGTATTTCACCCTTGGGGTTTGGGTTTCTGGTTTGCTGTTATCCTGCTGGTTTCTTGAGTGGTGTGGGGTAGATTTTCACTTTCATTATAACCGTTTTTATGAGATATGGAGAGTCCTAATTCTTATTTGCTGCCTCTTTAAAGACTGTCTGTTTCACCCTTCTAGACACTGTTCTTGCGGTTTGGGTGGCTGCCAGCAGGTGAAGAACGACACCTTGGATTATAGCTGGCTGGGCTTTCTTTAGACATGAGTAATTTGGGGAGCAGGAATCTAGCACATGAGCCACTCAACCCCAGTTTTTCTTTTTCTTCTTTTTAAAGATTTTTATTTATTTATTCATGAGAGACACAGAGACAGAGGCAGAGACACAGGCAGGGGTTGAAGCAGGCTCCCCCCAGGGAGCCCAATGTGGGACTTGATCCCAGGACCCCCAGTTAATGCCCTGAGCCCAAGGCAGACGCTCAACCACTGAGCCACCCAGGTGTCCCTCAACCCGTTTTTCATTTAAAAAACGAAAAGCCACCTACCTCCATTTATTGAAGCAGCATAATATTTCTCTATTGCTCCTGTGTGTTTTAAAAATAAAATTTATTTATTTATTTTATTTATTTTATTTTTTTAAAGATTTTACTTATTTATTGAGACAGAGAGAGAGAGAGAGAGAGAGAGAGAGAGAGAGAGAGAGAGAGGCAGAGACACAGGCAGAGGCAGAAGCAGGCTCCACACAGGGAGTCAGACATGGGACTCAATCCTGGATCTCCAGGATCACACCCCGGGCTGCAGGCAGCACCAAACAACTGCGCCACCGGGGCTGCCCTAAAAATAAAATTTAAGAGACTCCTTAAACCAATGTATATATTGAGTGCCTTTCTGACTACTTTCCCCCCCCCCCGGTGGAAATAATAAACATTTAAGACCCCAGATGTTTCTTTGAGCTGTGGGGGCATTGGTGCAGTTTGGATCATAAAACATTTTCGAAGGGCTTTATCTTTCAGTAAAAACCTTGGTTGAATAACTTCTTAGCACTGCCAGTCTTCATGTTAAGAATACATCCTCCAGTGCTTTTCTTCGTTAGAAGAAGCTGAATATGCTGTGGCAGAAATGATGGGACTTGCCTGGGACTACATTCTTTCCTGGGGGAAGAAATTCATCTTTAAACAGTTGGAACTGTTTAGAATCCCAGTTTGGTGAAATTGGCAGCTAATGAATTATTATTTTTTTTAAATAGACTTTTTACTTGAGAACAGTTTTAGATTTCTAGAGTTACTGTGAAGATAGTGCAGTGAATTCTCATCTACCCCACACTTGGTTTTGCCTAACATTTTACATGGGTGTGGCCCACTTGTCACACTTAATGATTCATTATTATTGACTGAAAGTCCCTTACTCAGATTTCCTCAGTTTTGCCTAAGGTCCTTTTTCTGTTCCAGAGTCCCATCCTGGACGCCACCACCCATGTCTCCTTAGGCTCTTCTTGATTGCGATTCCTGGTTTTCGATGACTGTTGGCTGTCCTGAGGAATACTCGTTCAGGCATTTTATAGAATGTCCCTCAGTTGAGATTTTTTTTTTTTTTTAAGTTCTGACTTTTTCTTCATGATTAAACTGGGGTAATATGTTTTGGGAGGAAAGGTGCCATTCTCATCACATCATATGAAAGACATTCCTATCAACAATATTTATCACTGTTGATGTTAACCTTGATCACCTGATTTGACATAGTGCTGGTCGGGTTTTTCCACTATACAATTACTCTTTTTTCTCTCCTGTTCCGTGTTGTACTGCTCCGAAGGAAGTTCTTTATGCTTTTAGCCCACACTGTGCATAAAGGGGGAGCTATGCTCCACTTGCTGGCAGCTAGCATATTTGAAGTTTGGTTAGACAGCGACACCTGCTGGTTGTACTCATGCATGGACACAGGCGAGACCCGAACGAGGCTGGATGTCTTCAGAACATTGGGGAATGACCCAGAGCATCTCTAAGTATGGTTTCCTCTGGTCAGGGTAGAAGCAGTGAGTAGAAAGGTGCTCTACAGGCAAGTGGAGACATAACTTTATTCGATAAATTCTTGCTACATGTCTGAGGTGGAGAGAGACAATATAGGAGAGCATCTCTAACTCAAGCATGAAAGTCCTACTGGAAACACTCTTTTTTCCCTTTCAGAAGTTATTCTATGGCAACTTGGCTGGGCAGTGTCTCTCTGTTATTAAGCATTGACTTTGTGTTAGTCTTTTTATTAGGACTGGTGAATTTTCAGGGAGGTCAGGGGTTATAGGATGGACAAGGGACCCCTGCCTGGGAAGTTTATTGTCAGATGGAGACCTAGTAGACGTGCAACATAATTATTGTTTACATTTTCATTTCTTTATTTAAAAAACAGCTTTATTAAAGTGATAATTCGTTCACCATACCACTTACCTATTTAAGATATACAAGTCAAGGGCTTTTTAGTAATTTAGTATCAATATTTAGTATATTAGTATATATGATTCAGTATGTATATTTAGTATACAAATATTTTATTTAGTAGAGTTGTGCAGCCATCAGCACAATCAATCTTAGAATCTTTTCTCATCCCCAAAAGAAAGCTCCCACTCCCTACTTGTCACTTCCAAACCTTCTATCTTTTCCAGCCCCTGGCAACCACTAACCTTTCTGTCTTTATAAAATTTGCCTACTTGGTCTTTTGTGTCTGGATTTTTTTCGCTTGGCATAATGTTTTCAGGGTTAATCCGTGTTGTAGCATGTGTCAGCACTTTCATTTCTTTTTCTTGTCAAGTAATATTACATCGTATGGGTGTACCACCTTTAGGTGTATCCGCTCACATTTAATGGACGTTTGAGTTGTTTTCACCTATTGGCTGTTATGAGCAATGTGACTGTAAACATCCATGTGCAAATTTTTGTGTGGTCCTATGTTCTCATTTTTCTTGGGTGTATACCTAGGAGCATCACTGACAAATCATATATATATATATTTATGATATATAATCATTTATATATATTTATAATCATATATATATGATTTATGTGTATGAATACACACACACTCTGTATATTTAACCTTGTGAGAAAGTGCCAGGCTGTTTTCCAAAGTGGCTGCGTCATTTTACATTCTCATTAGCAGTGCGTGAGGATTCCAGTCTCTCCACGTCCTCATCAACACTGTTATTATCCGCCTCTTTGATTATAACCATCCTTGTGGGTGTGGAGTGGGTATCTCATTGTGGTTGCGATTTGCATTTCCCTGACAGCTAATGATACTGAACTTTTTTTTTTTTTTATGTGCTTGTTGGCCATCTGTCATCTTCCTTGGAGAAATATCTCTTCACATCCTTTCCCCTGGGCTGCCTTTTTGTTATTAGTTCCTTATATAATCTAAAGGCAAATCCCTTGTTAGAGATACAACTTGCAAAAAATGCGCTCCTGGTTAATGAGTTGTCTCTCTTGGTGGCAGCTCTTGGAAGTACAAAGGTTTTCAGTTTTGATGAAGTCCATAAATTGTTTTTTCTTTCACTGCTAGATGTCTTATCTAAGAAATCATCACCTGTCATGAAGATTTACACCTGTGTTTTCTTCTGAAAAAAAATTTTTTTAAAGATTTTATTTTCAAATAATTTCTGCACCCGATGTGAGGCTTAAACTCACAACCTCAAGATCAAGAGTTGCTTGCTTCACTTACTGAGCTAGTTAGGTGCCCCTCTTCTAAAATTCTTGTACGGTTTTAGCCCGTACATTCTGGTCTTTCATCCATTTTGAGTTCATATTTGTACAGTGAATTTTCCTTTCCTTAACCCGTGAGGCTGAATACCTTCCCCTGACCTTACTGGACATTGGCATTTCTTTTAGGACTTACCTCTTCATTTTCTCCTGTTTTTGTTTTTGTTTTGTTTGTAAAACTCCGTATCTGTAAAAGAAGTTGACTTCTATCTTTTATATTTATTAATTTATTTAAGATTTTATTTATTTATTTATGAGAGACACAGAGAGGCAGAAACACAGGCAGAGGGATAAGCAGGCTCTCTGTGGGGAGACCGATGTGGGACTCCATCCCAGGACCGTGGGATCACCACCTGAGCCGAAGGCAGATGTTCAACCACTGAGCCACCCAGGTGTCTCTATCTTTCATATTTAAATCTAGCATTTGTTTTGATGTGAGATGGGAGGACCATACTTTTTTCATGTGGTAAACTATTGATGGGGATCCCTGGGTGGCGCAGTGGTTTGGCGCCTGCCTTTGGCCCAGGGCGCGATCCTGGAGACCCGGGATTGAATCCCACGTCAGGCTCCCGGTGCATGGAGCCTGCTTCTCCCTCTGCCTGTGTTTCTGCCTCTCTCTCTCTCTCTCACTGTGTGCCTATCATAAATTAAAAAAAAAACAAAAAACTGTTGATGTTCCAGAATCACTTAAAAGTCATCAATCATCTTAATCATCATTTGTGCATCAGACTGAAAAAAATCATGCATTAGACTTGAGTATTTGTGGACTGCTTCCGAACCTTTGGCTCATCACTCTTTCTGGTCTGGTGCCCTCCTTCACTGTTTGAATTCCTGTAACTTTACAGAACATTTTAACATCTGGTCACACAGGTCCCCATCTCTGTCTCCACCTGTCAATATGCTCTGTTTTCACAGCTTCTCTAGCTGTTGGCACATGTTTCATTTTTCAAAATGAACTTTAGAGTCTTCTGAATTTGTTGGGAAATTTGGAAGAATGAGTTCCTATTTTGTTTTGTTTTGTTTGTTCGTTGCCAACTTAAGTCAGGTGTGGTTAAAAATGTGTGAGCATTCCTGAGCTTTCAGATTCTGCTGCTTGTTTTAGGAACGTGGAGATTAAGTG